ACACACCTGGAGGTCTAAAGGAGTCCCTGACTACACACCTGGAGGTCTAAAGGAGTCCATGACTACACATCTGGAGGTCTAAAAGAAGACGTGTGACCACACACCTGGAGGTCTAAAGGAGTTCATGACTACACATCTGGTTTGGTAGCTTATTTAGTGCTCAACAGTGGCTGTCCTGATGCATGCTCAATAATCCAGGTGGCTGGCACACAATAGAACTTGCAGTTAAAGTTTTGTCCACAGTGTATCATAAACTGACAATTATCAGTGTCAGTGTCACCAACTGTAAGCTACAGCTGAATCTTATAGACTACATTACCCACAGGACTTCAGGTAAGAACAGGAAGTCTTGATTGCCTTTATTCCATGTCTGATTGGGTCAAATGTAACATCAATGGACACGTGATTCATGAGGAAAGAGAACTGGTTGAACGTTAAGTTCTAGCAGCCAGTCAGAAACATGTTGAGCGTGCTCATGGTCTGAATCAGGTTCCTCTGAAACTCCTTTTCTCAGTTAATTTTTATTTTCTACACATGGGAGTACAGCGTTGAGCCACAAGTCGCCAGCCACACCAGTATTTCTGATAATGGTGCTGAATTCAGGTCTGGATCACAAACATCTTCAGAGCTCGTCCATGCCTCCAGGAAGTGATTGTCGTATCAACAAGGAGAGTCCCTTTTCTCACCACATGACCAGCCATCAGCAACGTAGTGGCAGTGTCTGTTTTCACAAAATGGTTCCTTCAGGTGGAAGACATCTTGTTTTCTTTAGAGATACATAGATACTCGCCTGTTATTGATATGAGAGTGGTGGCACAGAGGTTAGAGAAGGTGGGCCGGTGATTGAAGATCAGGACATGGCTGGTTCAAGTCCTGGTACCGACAACATCAAAATGTGGGTGAGATAGGTGAAACACCCACACCTCCCTCCACCTTCATTCGTCGCACTCTGGGCCCTTGAGCAAGGCCCTTAACCCCCACCATCTGCTCCTCTGGGTGTCCTAGATGCAGCTCTCTGCTCCACACAGAGGCTGTGGTAGCTCGGTGTCTGTGGTTGCGTCAGGAAATGCATCCGGTGTAAAAGTAATTGTCAAGTCTTTGTGCGACTTGGTTTACTGTAGCGACCCCTGAAGAAGGGAGGAGTCGAAAGAAGAACAAAACATTAGATCCTCACCTCTCTCAAATACAGACAATGTGCCATTGGTCGGACATGTCAGAGTGTGAGGGTTTACTGGCTGAGTGTAGGGTTTTTTACAATGCCCAGATGGTTCCAGTTTTAACACTGGTCCTAAGACTTTCC